CGACACCAACTCTTCGGAAATCTCCTCCTTCGAGGCTCTGAAGACATCCCCAAGAAAGTCCAAGAAGGTTCCAACCTAACTCTCGACACCAACTCTTCGGAAATCTCCTCCCAACCTCCTTCTGCTGCTCCTCCTCCTCCGGCTCTTTATCCTCCTGCTCCTCTTGCTCCTCCTGTAGTTCGTTGTCTTCCTCCTCCGCTGCCTCGTCAAAAGCCCCAGACCACATACTCTTATCACAAGCTCCCCAAAAGCAACCAGGGGTGCCAAGACAGACCAAGGGGGCTCCGAAGAGGGCCCACGACAGGCTTCCAGGGTCCGGGGAACCACAATTTGATGCGCAGTTCTCCTTTCGTCTCAGGAGCCCACGGAACACTCGCGAGAACTAAAACATACCCCAGACCCCAGACTGCTATCACCAGCTCCCCTGAAGAACCCACGAGACTCCTGGACGGTCCAAGAAGACCCCACCACGGGCCTACGACAAGGCTTCCTCTTGCTCTTCCTCCTCCTGCTCCTCTCTCTCCTGTAGTTCGCTGTCTTCCTTCTGCGCTGCCTTCTGAAGGGCCCCAGATCTGAGACTCATATCCAAGCTCCCCAAAGACACCAAGGCGCCACAAGACACACCTCGGGGGCCCCAAAGAGATCCCAAGACAGGCTTCCAGGGTCTGGAGAACCACAATTTGATGCGCAGTTCTCCTTCCGTCTCAGAAGCCCACGGAACACTCGCGAGAACTAAAACATACCCCAGACCCCAGACTGCTATCACCAGCTCCCCTGAAGAACCCACGAGACTCCTGGACGGTCCAAGAAGACCCCACCACGGGCCTACGACAAGGCTTCCTCTTGCTCTTCCTCCTCCTGCTCCTCTCTCTCCTGTAGTTCGCTGTCTTCCTTCTCCGCTGCCTTCTGAAGGGCCCCAGATCTGAGACTCATATCCAAGCTCCCCAAAGACACCAAGGCGCCACAAGACACACCTCGGGGGCCCCAAAGAGATCCCAAGACAGGCTTCCAGGGTCTGGGGAACCACAATTTGATGCGTAGTTCTCCTTCCGTCTCAGAAGCCCACGGAACACTCGCGAGAACTAAAACATACCCCAGACCCCAGACTGCTATCACCAGCTCCCCTGAAGAACCCACGAGACTCCTGGACGGTCCAAGAAGACCCCACCACGGGCCTACGACAAGGCTTCCTCTTGCTCTTCCTCCTCCTGCTCCTCTCTCTCCTGTAGTTCGCTGTCTTCCTTCTCCGCTGCCTTCTGAAGGGCCCCAGATCTGAGACTCATATCCAAGCTCCCCAAAGACACCAAGGCGCCACAAGACACACCTCGGGGGCCCCAAAGAGATCCCACGACAGGCTTCCAGGGTCTGGGGAACCACAATTTGATGCGCAGTTCTCCTTCCGTCTCAGAAGCCCACAGAACACTCGCGAGAACTAAAACATACCCCAGACCCCAGACTGCTATCACCAGCTCCCCTGAAGAACCCACGAGACTCCTGGACGGTCCAAGAAGACCCCACCACGGGCCTACGACAAGGCTTCCTCTTGCTCTTCCTCCTCCTGCTCCTCTCTCTCCTGTAGTTCGCTGTCTTCCTTCTGCGCTGCCTTCTGAAGGGCCCCAGATCTGAGACTCATATCCAAGCTCCCCAAAGACACCAAGGCGCCACAAGACACACCTCGGGGGCCCCAAAGAGATCCCAAGACAGGCTTCCAGGGTCTGGAGAACCACAATTTGATGCGCAGTTCTCCTTCCGTCTCAGAAGCCCACGGAACACTCGCGAGAACTAAAACATACCCCAGACCCCAGACTGCTATCACCAGCTCACCTGAAGAACCCACGAGACTCCTGGACGGTCCAAGAAGACCCCACCACGGGCCTACGACCAGGAGCGACTTGGAGCGCCTCTTGGAGCCATCTTGAGCCATCTTGGACGCTCTAACGCCTCCATCCCCCCCCCCTCCAGGTCCAGGGGAAGGTTACCCCTCCCCCGAGCAGGGGAAGGAAGGGGAAGAGAGAAAACCAAACTCGTTATACCACCGTAGCCCTAAAGGGCTGGTGGGACTTCCACCTATAGACTTCCAGCCTCCACCAGCTCAGCACTCCGACCTCTAGCGTCCGGCATCCGACTTTCCACCTTCACCTCCACTCCAGCGTCCACCAACTCTGCGCCCTGAGCCCCGCCCCGGGCGCTACCGCGTACTCGCCTCGCCTCGCTTCCGCTCGCACAATTCCCACACACCTCATTGAACAATTGTGTTCTCGCCCGCGCCCAGAAACATCGTAGGTGCAAGGATCAAGATTAGAAGGCGAAGCGCAGCGAGCCTTAAAATCTTGTGTATATATATATATATATATACCGTCTGCCCCCCCCCCGACAGGTGCCGGGAGCGCCCTGCTGAGAGTTGGCAGTGAGCAGTTGGTTCTGCGAGACGGGAAGGCCATCTGCTTCCAGGACAGCTACTCGCACTCGGTTGAGCACGAGGTGGGCAAATTGCATTCGTTGTCGACATGTTCTCATATTCGAGCGTCTTTCTTTATCTAACGTGCGTGTGCGTCGATGTATTGTCCACTGCTCATGGTCTCATTGGACTCTTGCTCTTTGGTCGATTGCTTGCGCATGGTCTGCCAGACGCATTTCCAAGCATGTCCGAGCAAATTGCGACAAGATAGCAAGTGCACCGTCCTTTTGAATGATGCCAGGATCGTGTTCATTAGATGCTCGCGGTGTCCGTCGCTGCGCTGACCACCGCCGTTTATTCTTTGTTTGAGCGCGTTCGCGTTGAGCGAGTGCTTGCCCTTGTCCCACTCCCCCATGACTAGTTCTTCTCTTTCGCCCCATCCGTATCACAGATTTCTTCCCAGACGAGTTTGGGCACCGACACCGATATCCCGCGATGCTGGAACATGTGGGGATGTGGACGGTTACAGCCAGCATTTTTGTTGGCAGGAGGGAGTGCGCCCTCACAGCAGTGCGTTAGAGCAGACGGTGCGGTTCGTGTGTGCGCGCCACACCGCCGACTTCGCGAGGGCTTTGGATGCCGCTTTTGGCGTGTGTTGATTTGGGAACCTCTTGTTGGGCTTCTTGGACCGTCTTTCGGGTCGCTGGAGGGGATCTCTTGAGCCATCTTGCTTGGTGCCCTTTTTGGACTCCTTGTGGCCTTGTTTGTCCGTTGTAGGACTCTCTGGAGGCTGTCTTGATACGTCTTGGGGCGCCAGCCGTTCTGCGGCTCCGTTGTTGGCGTCTCTGGAGGCCATCCGTGCACATCTTAAGGGGCTTTGGGAGCTCTTGGGCCGTCTTGGCGCCCTCCAGGGCCGCCTTGTGGCCTTATTTGTCTGTTCGGGGCATCTCTTGAGGCCGTCTTGGGGCCCTCTTGGGGCTTTCTTGCGCTCTGAGCCATAATTGACTACCCTGCTGGATTCGGGATGCCTGTTGGAACCATGGGAGCGTATCTTGCCGCACTTCGATTTGGAGCGCACTGACGATTGTAGCAACCCTTTGAAGCCTTGCCCCCCCCCCCACACACCCACACACACACACACACCTTCAAATCGGCCAAACTTGGCTGTCAATGGGGAGTTTTGAAGGGGCAAAGGTGTCAAACGCCAATTCCTTGCAGCTGCGCGCTGTGCGAGCGGAGACAGCTCCGTGTCCTTCGGGACTGCTGTTTGGTCCTCTTCTGTCGTCTCCCTTCTCAGCTCATCCCACGTCCCACATCTTCTCCGCCTCCCCCCTTTGACAACGTTGCCCTTCTGCCGCGTTCCCTGCGGAGCCTCGCCCCAGTCCTGCGTTCCTCGCCCCATCCTCCATGCCATTTGTCGTGGCACCATGTCCGCCCGTCCGGGCAATGCCCTCGAGGGCGATATGGAGCGGATCTCCCTCGTAGTGCGCGTGATGCACCCCGACATCAGCACGGCCGCGTATGGCGGGCGCACCGACATGGGCGACGTTTCTGATAGAGAGGTTGCCCAGGCGTGAAATATGGTTTTCTTGTTAGCTAACTGGGTTATACAGTAGTTCATGAGCTTGACAGTGATTTGCGTGTGCGTTTCTCGGTAGATGTGAAAGGGGTGGGGTGGGCGGAATGGAATTTGCACAACCCGTTTTGCTCCTCACTGGTACATCTACGATTCAATTCCATGCGTCCCAGCATGAGGATCATACGTATCTCAGTAAGCTTGCACTCTCCCTGGGCCCACGGAGTTAGAGACACCCAGAAGTTCTCTGCGCAGTCGATTTGCAAACTTCGAGGTACCCTCTCACACGGCATGAGTCAGTTGCTGGCACCTTCTGACCATCGTGTGTGGGAGGGCGTGGTGGAGGTCGGGGCGGGGAGCCAAGCATTGCATTGTAAACGGAAGGGGTTGGGAGGGAACAAGACATGGTCGATCGGGGAGAACGGGATGTGGGGTATGAGGGAGCGGATGCAAGCATCGGAGGACGACATCTTCAGAACCCCTGGTGTCCCGACGGAGTCGTTCCGATAGGTTCCGCTGTTCAGCGAGGATTATAAACCCCCACCCATCGGACTACCCCCCGGACATGGTTTTCTAGTGGCGGGCCGTTGCTTGATGGCCCATGGACCCCAAGCGGGCTTCGAAATTACCAGACTGACGAATACCGTATGTCGCATTTTCCCGCGACGCCGGAAGTCGGGCGGGGCCCCCATCTTCAACATCTACTCTCAGCGTTGATGATGAGGTCCGTTCCGGCGAGATTATTGGGAGGCCCGAGGAGGGCCCCAAACACCATTGAACACCTAAGTCGCCCTCATCGTCCGCCCCTCCTCCAGGGGGCCGCCCGCAGCTCTGGCGACCCGAGGGGCGGTGCAGCAGTGTGAGGGTTTGAGGGCTCGTCGTCGGTGTGAGGGAGCGTCGTCGGGCAAGGGGCGAGCGGGAGCGGCCCGGGGCGCGTGGCCGGTCGCGCCCCGGCGTCAGGCCCTCGGCGCGGAGCTGCAGCGGCTGCGGGCCGAGTACCGCCGCCTGGCCGCCGAGTGGGCGCCAGCGGGCGCGCAGAAGGGGGCGCTGGGCGAGGGGGGGGGTCGGACGCAACTCCTGGGAGGTCAGATTCTCATTTTGCCCTGGTCCGAAGTCCGGCTTGAGCCGGCTTGCTCCCGCTTGATCCCGCCTGATCCCGCTTAGTCCCGCTTCATCCGGCTGAATCCTGCTTGGTCCGAGGCCCACTCCGGCGTAACAGCCCCCCCCCCCAATGGGGCTTTGGGGCTTAATCCTCCTTAGCCTTTCCGACAAAGACCTCCCAGTAGTTGCCTCCTAAGGGGGGGGGGGGGGGCCGCGTTTTGTCGAGACGCCGGAGTTCGGACCACTTTGGGCTCGGGGAGGGGGCTCCGGCTTGGCGGGCCGTTCCTCGGGTCGGGGTCGGGGAACCTCTTTTGAGGCCGAGGCTTGCCGTGGCCAGGGCTGACCGTTCGCTCCTTGTGTGCAACACGCTTCGCGTTCACCGCTCGCCCGTTCCAGTCCCACCCGCAGAGACGAAGACGGCGCCAAGACGGGGTGGCCGTATCCCGAAAGTGTCCAAAACAACTCCCCACAGGTCCAAGAGCGCCCTCGAGGGCCGACGAGAGCCTTGAAAAGGGCCCAAAACGGGCTCGAGGAGGGCCCGCGGCTGCCCGTGCGGATCTCTGGACGGCTCAAGCGCGAGCATCGCCCCGGTGGGCCCGAGCCCCGCTCGCACTTCCGTCGTAGCGGGGATCTCGGCGGGTGTGGGCTCCGTTTTGGGGACCTCAGTCGGGCCAGAATTTGGACACAGTTGGTCAGAGCCCCGAATCATCAGGGGTAATTCGGGTCAGGGCTAACTCGGGTTCGTTTTTCGGGATTCCGAACCCGAGTTACCCCGGACCCGAGTTACCCCGGATAATTCGGGCGTCCAGAGCCCCACATCATCGGGGGTAACTCGGGTCAGGGCTAACTCGGGTTCCTTTTTCGGGAATCCAAACCCGAGTTACCCCGGACCCGAGTCACCCCGGATAACTCGGGCGCCCGAGTTGGGACCAAAGGGGTAACACTCGGAAACGAAGCTTACATGATTGAGAATGGCCCAGACGAGGCCGGTCGTCGGCTATAAGGGGCGTCTGGGCGAACCCCCGCGAGGCGAAAATCATCAAACACCGATGGGTTTTGCTATATGTTTGAAGTTCCCAGTTCGTGCGCGCAGTTGGGCCGCAGAAGCGCTCTGGAGGGCCCCACGAGCCGGCACTGGAGGCCCAGAACGAGCCCCGAAGCGGCCGCAACGGACCCAAAATGCGCGCAGAAAGCGTCGTTAGTAGGATTTGCAAGTCGAGCTCATTTTGAAATCTGGAAGCTCGAAAAGGAAAAGGGTCAATGGCGTAGCCGGGGCGGCGGAATGGCGGGGGCCTTTTGGGGGGGCAAAAGGGGGGCTAGAGCCTTCTAAGAAGCTCTCAAGTTTAAATATCACATGGCCCTCAACCCTGTGGGCGGGTGGATCCAAGAGGCTTGCCGAAGGAACCCATGGCATCGCGGCAACGAAGCAACAGAAGATGATAGAAATGCGTGTTACAAGAACTACGGCTGATATATGTTGTCTTGGGTCTTGGGGCCTCTCCGGGGCTTTTGGCTGTCGAGATGCGAGCGTCGGCTGCTCCAGTGCTCTTATTGCCGAAGGGATCCATGGTCTCGCAGCCTTCAAGTGACAGCGGATGAGGGATATGTGTTGCTATTGCAACTACGGCTGGTGTATATTGCCTTGGTGTCTCTCATTGGCATCTGGCTGTCGAGATGCGATTATAGGTTGCGCAAATTTTGTTTATGCCTATGGAATCCATGGTTTCTTGGCAACCAAGCGACATACGATGAGAACATGGTGTGTTCTACAACAACCACGGCTGATATATGTTGTCCCGGGGTCGTTCTCTGGCTTCTGCTTACCAGACTGCGGGAGCTGGGTGCGCGCGTGCTGTTTGCCGAAGGAATCCAAGACCTCGCGGGCGGCAGAACATGATAACGACATGACTTAATCACGACCGCGGCTGATGCGTATTATCTTTGGGTTTGGTGGTCAACGCGAGCAAAGTCTCTATTCGCAATCTGGATCGTTACACGCAAACGCCATGGAACATTACGAGGCGAACGAGATGGGCGAGGAAGGCGGGAGAGAGATAAGAGGGGGAACGAGGGAGTTAGAGATGGAGGCGGGGAGGGAGGAATCTATACATATCAGCGCTGCGTCGCTGTTTCGCGCGCGCGTACGGCGCGGCGCTTGCGCGATGAACCCCGCGGAAGGCAATTGCCATGAACGCGTCGTCCACTTTCTCGGGGTCGTGGCTTTCGTAGTTGAGAACATCAGTGATTTGTTGTTGATGAGGTTGTCTCCTATGTCTTTTGACGGCACGATCACGTTGTAGCCAAGCATCGCGTGGACGTTGTCGTGCTCACCACGCAGGGCAAGCTGGTGGAGCGCTGGCGGGCCTGGGGTCTGCTCGTTCATGATGGCCACTTGTGTCGGCCCCTTATCGAAATGTCCCCACTGGAATGGATCATGGGCTGGTGCTGCTTGTTAGATTCGAACATCTTCGTGTCGGTTCCGAAAATCAAGTTTGGACGGAAAGCTTGTACCGCGCAGTGTCCGATGTTGAAATATGTAGCCTGGTGGCTTATCACCTTGGCGACGGCCATGCACGTAGGCCCCAAACCGGTGGTCTGGTTCATGGGTAACCCCACGAGGCGGCGCAACCACGCCCTCTTGGTGGTGTCGACGGTGGCTTCGCTATGCCCGACAGCCGTGGTGACCTGCTGGTCGTGCACCCCGCGGTTTGTGGTGGCTTCGCCGTCGTACGGCGTCGTCGTCGGCGTCGGCGTCGGCGTCGGCGTCGTCTTCGTCGTCTGTGGCGGAGGCCACGGATTGCTCAGATCCGCCCAGGCGCAGTGGCCTCCTCCCGCTTCGCCACACCCGACGCATTCTGTTGCCCCAGGGTATGCGGCGATGCGGGCTGTGCGGCGCGGAGTGTTTCTCACGCTGGGCATCGGCGGCGCAGCGGGCAACCTCGTGGTGGGCGAAGAGTTCGAGCGCCCACCCCACACTCAGAAGCCGCTGCGCAGGACCAGTTTTGTAAGCTGGAGCCCGTGCAGTTTGAAGAACCACGGCGGCCGCCTGGGAACCATCGGCCGGGAATCCTGTATATGGATGTGGTGTTGGCTCCAGGTACAAAGATCCATGAGGAAATTACATGCCACCACAAGTGGATGCATTTTGGATGGGCACGTGCCCCTGGGACCAACGCCAGCAGCGGCGGGTGCAGCATCGGACAGCATCGAAAGACACAGGAAAGCTAACATCGTCAGAGTCGCGGGAGCCCCCAAGCATGTTCAGTGACGTGGGGGATGCGTTGACATGCGCCGTGGACCACACCGAGCTCACTACATAGTCGCGCGCTTCTCTCCACGCCTTCACCTCGCCCGCGACCATGAGTTCTGGAAAAACATGTTTGCAGCTATGGGGATGGATCAGTATTCAGCTTGACTACACCCGCGCGCATGGCGCCCATACGTTCCAGCGGCAAGAGCATGAGATTCGGACAGCGAGGCAAGCATCTGCACATCGATTCCATCATCGGACCTAACCAACCTGGACTTGAAGACGTCATGGGCAAGCACCTCCATGAATATATGATCACGCGCGAATTAAGTGCCATCAATAATTAGCCATTGGCACCTTGGACCCAGCGACGTTGGCAGCAGAGGCGCATCCAGCCGCATCGACTATTTCATAGCACCGACCTCGCTCAAGCATGTTGTCAATTTTTTGATTATGGCATGCGCGACGCAACCTCCGGGCGCTGAAAGGGATCGACCACGCGCCGGTGATAATGGATGCGCCCATATTTGTTCCGACACCACATGCAGATATGAATCAAGTCTTATGGGATTGGGCTTGTTCCGCAGCCTGCCTACGACGGGGGCATGAAAGATTGGACATTCTCTTGCTCTCCATCGAGGTGGTCAAGAGCATCGCGCTAGACTCACCAGACTCACTTCATGCGCCAGTCCGACCCGACACGCAGCAGCCGATAGGCACATCATCAAAGGCAACGCCGCCAAGTTCTGTCGCTGGTCACGCCCATTCCACAGCGGGTCGGACATGCAGAAGGCGAACGCGCCCAGCGACTTTCACAACGCGCCCAGCGTCTTCGCGACGGACACGCTATACGCAGCCAGCTTCCAGATGAGGCAGCAAGCAGTTGAAGTCATGCCGAAGGTGGCGCAACTATTTGCGGCGCACCTCGGTCGATGACCAACTGCGAGCAGCTTGGGCCTTGCGCGATCTCTCAAGAGCACGGCGCTCGGCAAGGCGCTGAGCTGGCACTCGTACTGGCGCAAAGAAACGCAGCTGCATATCTGTTGTGGCCACGCGACCGAGAGGGCAAGCTCTCCTGCATGCGCTCGCAAATCCAGCTGCGCAAGGAGGCGCGACGGCGGCAGCGCGCATGACATGCAGAGATCTCGGTGACAAGGCCACTATCACTTTCCTCGGGGCACCAGAGGAAGACGCCCCGCAGCTCGGCCCAGCACAGCGCGACGCGTCGCAGACTGACATCGACATGGCAATTCAGGATAATGCCCGCGTGAAGGAGCGGGTTTGGGCCAACGAGCACCGACGGCGCAATCTTCACTAGTCGTGGCCTGGAGAGCTTACCCAGACATCGCTATTCTCAGCATATTTCTCCCGTACCATTGCTGAACCGCGCGGCCTTGGATGCGAAGGCGACTGTCGTTCTCAAGTCAGACAGTTGGCCGGAGCGGAACAACCTGCACGACGAAACAATGCGACGTCCTTTCCGTGGAAGTTAACGCGGTCTACATCTTGCTCACAATGTTACTGGCTCACGTCCGTGCCGTCTGCAGCCTGCCAGCGCGAGCAACGAAGAGCTAGGCTATCACCACCGGGAGAGGAGAGACCAAGGCCCATTGGCGACGAGATCCACGACGTCAAGACATGCTTACGATTGCATCGCGTTTTCTGCCACTGGCTG